CACTTCTCTCTGCCGAGTTCATAAACGCGACCGCATCGCTGCACATTCGTCAACAATATAGGTGACGTTTCGGGCAATGGCTCATCATCAGATACAAATAGACAGGCCGGCACCAACGGCGCTCACTAAGATATACATAGTCGATAAGAGTCAATACGCGTATTCAACTGAGCAAGGATTTAAGGTACAAGTCGAACGGTAGACCGCCGTGAAGTCACCGGTGTACGGATCGTCACTTTGTGCAGTTACAAGGAGTGCTCATCGACACTTGGGGTGCACTTTGTGAAGTGACAAGGCGTGCTCATCGTCACTTGGGGTGCACTTTGTGAAGTTACAAGGAGTGCTCATCGTTACTTGGGGTGCACTTTGTGAAGTGACAAGGCGTGCTCATCGTCACTTGGGGTGTACTTTGTGAAGCGACAAGGCGTGCTCATCGTCACTTGGGGTGCACTTTGTGAAGTGACAAGGCGTGCTCATCGTCACTTGGGGTGCACTTTGTGAAGTGACAAGGCGTGCTCATCGTCACTTGGGGTGCACTTTGTGAAGTGACAAGGCGTGCTCATCGTCACTTGGGGTGCACTTTGTAAGCGTGTCCTTGCGTCAGCTCTACCTCTATTCATGCGCTATGAATAAGATGCATTGCCCAAAACGTCGCATATTACGCGAGCGCGCATTCTGCGTGTTACTCAAACCGCATCCCTAACCGCGAACACCATAAGCCGTATACCTACCACCAATTCCAACCCTATCCCCAATACTCGCCAAGACGGTAATCATAACCTAAACCAATCCCTAACCCCAGCGCCATCCTATACCGAACCATATCTACTCGAACTAACTCGATCCCTCACCCCAAACTCTAACCATACGCCCTAACCCTAATCACATACCTTACCTAAACTCCTAACACCAACCCTATCCCTCACGCCAACCATATCCCTAACTCAAAGTCGAATCCCTATCACTCACCATCTCCTCATTCTGAACCACTTCGTCACCGCTCCCGAGTTGTGAAGAATGGAGACAGACCCACGTGGTGCGCGTGGGGGCGCTGCAGCTCAGGGGAGTCAGTCTATGGGCGTCTGTGTCAGTCTATGGGTGTCTGTGTCAGTCTATGAGTCTCTGTGTCAGTCTATGGGTGTCTGTGTCAGTCTATGGGTGTCTGTGTCAGTCTATGGGTCTCTGTGTCAGTCTATGGGTGTCTGTGTCAGTCTATGGGTGTCTGTGTCAGTCTATGGGTCTCTGTGTCAGTCTATGGGTGTCTGTGTCAGTCTATGGGTGTCTGTGTCAGTCTATGGGTGTTTGTGCCAGTCTATGGGTCTCTGTGTCAGTCTTTGGGTGTCTGTGTCAATCTATGGGTCTCTGTGTCAGTCTATGGGTGTCTGTATCAGTCTATGGGTCTCAGTGTCAGTCTATGGGTGTCTGTGTCAGTCTATGTGTCTCTGTGTCAGTATATGGGTGTCTGTGTCAGTCTATGGGCCTCTGTGTCAGTCTATGGGTCTCTGTGTCAGTCTATGGGTCTCTGTGTCAGTCTATGGGTCTCTGTGTCAGTCTATGGGTCTCTGTGTCAGTCTAAGGGTTTCTGTGCCAGTCGATGGGTTTTTGTGTCAGTCTATGGGTCTCTGTGTCAGTCTATGGGTGTCTGTGTCAGTCTATGGGTCTCTGTGTCAGTCTATGGGTGTCTGTGTCAGTCTATGGGTGTCTGTGTCAGTCAATGGGTCTCTGTGCCAATCTATGGGTGTCTGTGTGAGTCTATGGGTGTCTGTGTCAGTCTATGGGTGTCTGTGTCAGCCTATGCGACTCTGTGTCAGTCTATGGGTTTCTGTGTCAGTCTATGGGTGTCTGTGTCAGTCTATGGGTGTCTGTGTCAGTCTATGGATCTCTGTGTCAGTCTATGAGTGTCTGTGTCAGTCTATGCGACTCTGTGTCAGTCTATGGGTCTCTGTGTCAGTCTATGGGTGTCTGTGTCAGTCTATGGGTGTCTGTGTCAGTCTATGGGTCTCTGTGTCAGTCTATGGGTCTCTGTGTCAGTCTATGGGTCTCTGTGTCAGTCTATGGATCTCTGTGCCTGTCTATGCGTCTCTGTGTCAGTCTATGGGTCTCCGTGTCAGTCTATGAGTGTCTGTGTTAGTCTATGGGTCTCCGTATCAGTCTATGCGTCCCTGTGTCAGTCTATGGGTGTCTGTGTCAGTCTATGGGTGTCGGTGTCAGTCTATGGGTGTCTGTGTCAGTCTATGGGTCTCTGTGTCAGTCTATGGGTGTCTGTGTCAGTCTATGGGTCTCTGTGTCAGTCTATGGGTGTCTGTGTCAGTCTATGGGTCTCTGTGTCAGTCTATGGGTCTCTGTGTCAGTCTATGGGTCTCTGTGTCAGTCTATGGGTGTCTGTGTCAGTCTATGGGTCTCTGTGTCAGGCTATGGGTGTCTGTGCCAGTCTATGGGTTTTTGTGCCAGTCTATGGGTGTCGGTATCAGTCTATGGGTGTCTGTGTCAGTCTATGGGTCTCTGTGTCAGTCTATGGGTGTCTGTGTCAGTCTATGGGTATCTGTCAGTCTATGGGTCTCTGTGTCAGTCTATGGGTGTCTGTGTCAGTCTATGGGTGTCTGTTCCAGTCCATGGGTGTCTGTGTCAGTCTATGGGTGTCTGTGTCAGTCTATGGGTCTCTGTGTCAGTCTATGGGTCTCTGTGTCAGTCTATGGGTGTCTGTGTCAGTCTATGGGTCTCTGTGTCAGTCTATGGGTGTCTGTGTCAGTCTATGGGTGTCTGTGTCAGTCTATGCGTCTCTGTGTCAGTCTATGGGTGTCTGTGTCAGTCTATGGGTCTCTGTGTTAGTCTATGGGTCTCTGTGTCAGTCTATGGGTCTCTGTGTCAGTCTATGGGTATCTGTGTCAGTCTAAGGGTTTCTGTGCCAGTCGATGGGTTTTTGTGTCAGTCTATGGGTCTCTGTGTCAGTCTATGGGTGTCTGTGTCAGTCTATGGGTGTCTGTGTCAGTCTATGGGTGTCTGTGTCAGTCTATGGGTCTCTGTGCCAGTCTATGGGTGTCTGTGTGAGTCTATGGGTGTCTGTGTCAGTCTATGGGTGTCTGTGTCAGTCTATGCGACTCTGTGTCAGTCTATGGGTTTCTGTGTCAGTCTATGGGTGTCTGTGTCAGTCTATGGATCTCTGTGTCAGTCTATGAGTGTCTGTGTCAGTCTATGCGACTCTGTGTCAGTCTATGGGTCTCTGTGTCAGTCTATGGGTGTCTGTGTCAGTCTATGGGTCTCTGTGTCAGTCTATGGGTCTCTGTGTCAGTCTATGGGTCTCTGTGTCAGTCTATGGATCTCTGTGCCTGTCTATGCGTCTCTGTGTCAGTCTATGGGTCTCCGTGTCAGTCTATGAGTGTCTGTGTTAGTCTATGGATCTCCGTATCAGTCTATGGGTCTCTGTGTCAGTCTATGGGTGTCTGTGTCAGTCTATGGGTGTCGGTGTCAGTCTATGGGTGTCTGTGTCAGTCTATGGGTCTCTGTGTCAGTCTATGAGTCTCTGTGTCAGTCTATGGTGTCTGTGTCAGTCTATAGGTCTCTGTGTCAGTCTATGGGTGTCTGTGTCAGTCTATGGGTGTCTGTGTCAGTCTATGGGTCTCTGTGTCAGTCTATGGGTGCCTATGTCAGTCTATGGGTCTCTGTGTCAGTCTATGGGTCTCTGTGTCAGTCTATGGGTCTCTGTGTCAGTCTATGGGTGTCTGTGTCAGTCTATGGGTTTCTGTGTCAGGCTATGGGTGTCTGTGCCAATCTATGGGTTTTTGTGCCAGTCTATGGGTGTCGGTATCAGTCTATGGGTGTCTGTGTCAGTCTATGGGTCTCTGTGTCAGTCTATGGGTGTCTGTGTCAGTCTATGGGTGTCTGTGTCAGTCTATGGGTCTCTGTGTCAGTCTATGGGTGTCTGTGTCAGTCTATGGGTGTCTGTTCCAGTCCATGGGTGTCTGTGTCAGTCTATGGGTGTCTGTGTCAGTCTATGGGTCTCTGTGTCAGTCTATGGGTCTCTGTGTCAGTCTATGGGTGTCTGTGTCAGTCTATGGGTCTCTGTGTCAGTCTATGGGTGTCTGTGTCAGTCTATGGGTCTCTGTGTCAGTCTATGGGTCTCTGTGCCAGTCTATGGGTATATGTTTCAGTCTATGGGTCTCTGTGTCAGTCTATGGGTGTCGGTGTCAGTCTATGAGTGTCTGTGTCAGTCTATGGGTCTCTGTGTCAGTCTATGAGTGTCTGTGTCAGTCTATGGGTCTCTGTGTCAGGCTATGGGTGTCTGTGCTAGTCTTTGGGTCTCCATGCCAGTCTATGGGTCCCTTTGCATGTGTCTGAGTCTGGATCTCTCTGTAATTTTGTAAGTTTGTGTATCTTTGTATGTATCTGAGTCATGGGATCTCTATGTAAGTATATGTTGACGTAAGTCTTTGGGTTATTGCGAAATGTCATGGGCTCATTATGTAATTATGTGTTTTTTTAATGTAAGTCGAGACGTCTACGGGTCTCTGTGTAAGGATATGTAAATAGGCGTCACGGCCGTAATCGACGTGTGTGGAGTTAGCGGCCAAAGCCTAACGACTGCAATAAAACAATTGAAGCTTTCACCGCATGTCAACATCACCACCAAACACCACCACGCTGACGCATCACGTAGGTGCACCGCTGTGCCCTGTTACACGCGCGCGTGTGGATTTATGAGGAGCGGCGGCGCAGTGGTTAGCGCGCTGCACCACGAACCCGGCCGCCCGAGTTCGATCCCCGCTCACAACAGAGGCGGACATCTGAATCGGTCAGGGGCGTCCTGGAGGACTCGGACTCAAGTGAGTGCCTGATGCGGTGTGTGCCGCTCGCTCACGGCACTTGCCCCAGCGCTCTGTTGAAGGCTACACGGGGCACCTTTGTCTTTGCAGCTCCGCGAGCTCAGGGCGGTGGCTTGGCACCACGTGCTCCACCCGAGCCCCTCCCCCACTCCGCCCCCTCCCCCTCTCTGCCCCGCCCCTCCTCCTCTCCGCCCCGCCCCCTCCCCCGTCCCCGCCTCGGGAAGCGCCTTCGTGGGTCCCTCTCAGGCTCAGCGCCCTTCTTCGCCTCCACCGCCTCTCACTCCTCTGTCTCTCGCAACAGCAGCACAAAGCGATTCAACATAGCCATCAGCAACATCATCAGCAGCAGCATCAGCAGCCGCAACATCACCAGCAGGAGCAGCATTATCATCAGCAGCAGCAGCATCAGCAGCATCATCAGCAGCAGAAGGAACAACAAAGCTGATCGCCCGATGGAGGCTCGCCAGTGTGATGATCTCTGAGCTGAGCCGAGTTCAGCCCGAGTCTGGGGCCCCCCACGATTCAGCATCAGCGTCATCATGCAGCCCCCCCCGCGGAAGGTAAGATGAGCTCAGCCGGGGAGGATGGTTTTTGTTGTTGGGGGGGGTGCATGGAGTAAGAGGCAGAAGCACCAGCAGCAGCATCACCTGGTCGCTCCACGCACACACGCGCCTTGGTGTGTGGCCACGCAGTGCACGAGCCCACGTTTGTCTTCGGCGTTTATTTAAACAACAATAACAACAAGGATATCATTGTCTACATCCCGTCAGCCACACTGCCCTTTTGGGAGGTCATCTTCGTCATCATCAACGTTGGTTAAACCCGGGGGGTGGGGAAGTCGTCTGGACCGTCTGGCTTGTCATCAGCAGCGCCGGCCTGGCTGGAACCAATGGTCCGATGTATCAACTTTATAGACGCACGTTGTGGGCCGGTTTCGACACTCGGTGTCTCATCAGCAGCGCCAGGCTTGCTCGAGCCAATGCTGGCGAACGAGGCGATGCTCATAGGCAAGTAGCCCCCGCCCTGTGCTACGCGATACATTACACAACACTCGCTGGTGGTCGCTGTCACTTGTTTAGGATGAGACCCAGAAATGTCGAAACCAGGCCACAGCTTGCCTGCTGCTCAAACATGCTGCTCCTGCGGCTGGATGATATTTGGTCTGTCAGGGCAGTACGGGCTGATGGACTGAACCGTGTTTGTATGGGGGCGGTTTGACGATACTTCACCATGCCGTTATTGTGCAGAATCCCTGCCGTTTAACGGCTCGTAGAATCACCATCGATGCGAGTGTGGAGTCTCGGGGATGATGAAGATGACGATGAGGTGGTGCTGCTGGCAGGGAGAGGGTTGGCGTCCCACTCTGACGGCGTGGTTAGGGGAGCAGCAGCAGCTGCTGCTGTTGTTGTGAGAGTGGTGGTTGTTGTTGGTGGTGGTGGTGTTTTTTGTGTTGGAGTCACGGGGGTTGATGGGGAGAGTGAAGTGCTGGGTGACTGGGATTGGGGGGGGGCAATGTGAGGACACAGACGCAAAGATGAGTGATGGTTCCCAAACGTTGGATTGTTATTAATCGTAATTCTCCATCTATTGCACTCCGCCCCTTGCCCATCCACTGCTGCTGATGTGCGTGCCAGCTCCACGCCGCGTGGGTTGCGTTTTGGTTAATTGACCATACTTCACCACCCTGGTCGGTGCAGGGAGCATGTGAGTTCAGTACAGTAACGCATATTGTTGCCACGCTCCCCTCTGTGACAGCCTCTGCATGGCGGTTGCATTCCAAGCGCTCTCCAGGCTCAGCTATGCTTCCCTTCTGACGTTATCGCTCGCCACTGATGTTAGCCGTGTCCGGGAATCTAACCCAGGTCTCCGGGTGCTAACCACTTCACTACCGCTGCCCCTTAATCTACGAGCCCGTTATTATAATTCGCAGGTGATCTGGTTCTGGGTTCTCTCGAGGTGTGAAAATGCGTGGCAGACAGGAGGTGGTGCTGATGGTGGTGCTGCTGATGGCGGTGCTGATGATGATGCTGCTGGTGGTGCTGATGATGATGCTGCTGGTGGTGGTGGTGCTGATGCTGCTGGTGGTGCTGATGATTATGTTGCTGGTGGTGCTGCTGCTGATGCTGCTGGTGGTGCTGATGATGATGATGATGCTGCTGGTGGTGGCGCTCATGTTCATGATAATGCTGCTGGTGGCGGTGCTGATGATGATGCTGGTGGTGCTACTGATGATGCTGCTGGTGGTGCTGATGATGTTGGTGGTGCTACTGATGATGATGCTGGTGGTGCTACTGATGATGATGCTGCTGGTGGTGCAACTGATGATGATGTTGATGGTGCTACTTATGCTGCTGGTGGTGGTGCTACTGATGTTACTGTTGGTGGTGCTACTGATGATGATGCTGGTGGTGGTGCTGATGATGATGTTGGTGGTGCTACTGATGATGCTTCTGGTGCTACTGATGATGCTGTTGGTGGTGCTACTGATGATGCTGTTGGTGGTGCTACTGATGATGCTGTTGGTGGTGCTACTGATGATGATGCTGTTGGTGGTGCTACTGATGATGATGCTGGTGGTGCTACTGATGATGTTTGCTGGTGGTGGTGCTACTGATGATGCTGTTGGTGGTGCTACTGATGATGCTCTTGGTGGTGGTACTGATGATGATGCTTGGTGGTGGTGCTGATGATGATGTTGGTGGTGCTACTGATGATGATGCTTGTGGTGCTACTGATAATGTTTGCTGGTGGTGGTGCTACTGATGATGCTGTTGGTGGTGCTACTGATGATGATGCTGGTGGTGCTACTGATGATGCTGTTGGTGGTGCTACTGATGATGCTGTTGGTGGTGCTACTGATGATGTTTGCTTGTGGTGGTGCTACTGATGATGCTGTTGGTGGTGCTACTGATGATGCTGTTTGTGGTGGTACTAATGATGATGCTGGTGGTGCTGATGATGATTCTGTTGGTGGTGGTGCTACTTATGATGATGTTGGTGGTGGTGCTACTGACGATGATGTTGGTGGTGGTGCTACTGATGATGCTGCTGGTGGTGGTGCTGATGATGCTGCTGGTGGTACTGATGATGATGCTGCTGGTGGTGAAGATGGTGCTGTCGTTGCAGCTTATTGTTGTTGTGTTGATGTTCACAATATCGACACGTGGGAGTGGTGACAAGCACATTGTGTTGACGTCGCACACACTCGGCAGTTATGTTGATGATTCTGGTGGCAGCACTGTTACAGAGACCACGTTGAGTAATAAATACATCGTGAGGTTTCGCAATGACAGCGGTGGTTATCACACAGTCATGAAGGTAAGCGTGATGATGTCCAGCAGTTGTCCAGGAAAGCTTTGTGGCGTCTCCGAACTCTTGACCACGAGGGATCCCGGCTTAATTCCTTTTGAATTAAAATGTAAATAAAACTCGCAACATTGGTGAATAACGTTGTGCGGTGTGTAAACATCAGCACTGGGGAGACAAAGGCGGCCGGGCTTAGTGCTGGCCACACCACCTGCTCGTGTGCCATGCCGGCTTCAATAGGTGTTCGCTAACAGCACTTGCCCCAACAGCCTGTTGAAGGCTATGCGGGGAATCTTTGACTTTGTGTCTCATACAGTGTTTACATTCCTAAAACAAATAAAGGAACACGCATGCGCTCGTGCGCTGCGTTTGGGATAGGGCCGATGCCATCGGTTGAACGGTTAAATAAGGAATTCAGTGCACACACGCACGCACACATGCGATTTATATTCACCGTGTAGAGGCTGGCTACACAGGAGATATTCATCTTGTATTGGTGGCAGCAGTGATGGTGGTGTTGGTAGTGCCGCTCGCTCGTGGCGGTGATGGTTGTGGCGCTGATGGTGGTGGCGCGGTGTGGTGGTGGTGATGGTGCTGATGGTTGTGTTTGTGACGTGCTGTGGTGTTGTGGTGCAGGCGAAGGTGACGCAGGAGGTGCGGTGTGCACAGACGGAGCAGCTTGCCCGGCTCACGGCCAAACACCAGCAGGAGAGCGACCTCCTGGAGGACATCCGGTGAGACGTGCACACGTGCGTGTGTGCGTACCTGTTCGTACTTGTGTGTACGGATGTGTACGTACATGTGTGTACGTGTGTGTGTACGAGTGTGTGTACGAATGTGTGTGCATGTGTGTGGGAAGCGCTGGTGCGGTTGTGAGCACGCCGCTCTATGAACCCGGTGACCCGAGTTCGATTCCCGCTCGCAGTATCGGTGAAGATTATCTGATTATCTGAACCGGTCCTGGGCCTCCGCTTGGTCGACCCAACCTTATTGACGTAAGCACCTGATTGAAGGTGTGTCTAAAACATCGGCACTGGGGATACAAAGGCAGGCGGGTGTGGTGCAAAGCAGGGCCGCCCTGCCGTGCGCCATGCCGGCCTTCGTCGGTGCTACTCGCTCATGGCACTTGTCCCAAAAGTTTCATAAGTCTGTAGGGGCGATGTGTGTTATTGTTGTCGTGCGCGTGCGCATTCGTGCGTGCGCATTCGTGCATGCCAGCTGGTCACAAGGCTGGCTCTGTGTGGCGCCGAGCGATATTTAATTCCTGTGAGAGCGCTGCTCTGTGTACCCGTGTGCGTTCAGTTTACACGGCGCATCGCGGGGCTGCACAAGCTGGCACGGCCTCGAGACACAACGCGACACCAAGTGTGACCACGGCGTAGCAAGGCCCGACACACAACCTCTACACACACAGCGTCTACACACACAGCGTCTACACACACAGCGTCTACACACACAGCGTCTACACACACAGCGTCTACACACACAGCCTCTACACACATAGCCTCTACACACAGCCTCTACACACACAGCCTCTACACACATAGCCTCTACACACAGCCTGACACACACAGCCTCTACACACAGCCTGACACACACAGCCTCTACACACACAGCGTCTACACACACAGCGTCTACACACACAGCGTCTACACACACAGCGTCTACACACACAGCGTCTACACACACAGCCTCTACACACATAGCCTCTACACACAGCCTGACACACACAGCCTCTACACACACAGCGTCTACACACACAGCGTCTACACACAGCGTCTACACACACAGCGTCTACACACACAGCGTCTACACACACAGCGTCTACACACACAGCCTCTACACACATAGCCTCTACACACAGCCTCTACACACATAGCCTCTACACACAGCCTGACACACACAGCCTCTACACACACAGCGTCTACACACACAGCGTCTACACACACAGCCTCTACACACACAGCCTCTACACACAGCCTCTACACACACAGCCTCTACACACACAGCCTCTACACACACAGCCTCTACACACAGCCTGACACACACAGCCTCTACACACACAGCCTGACACACACAGGCTGACACACAGAGCCTCTTCACACAGCCTCTACACACAGCCTCTACACACAGCCTCTACACACACACAGCCTCTACACACAGACTCTACACACAGCCTGACACACACAGCCTCTACACACAGCCTCTACACACACAGCGTCTACACAGACTCTACACACACAGGCTGACTGACACACACAGCCTCTACACACAGCCTCTACACACAGCCTCTACACACAGCCTCTACACACAGCCACTACACACAGACTCTACACACACAGCCTGACACACAGCCGATAAAATCACTACCACTTTTCAGGGAGGTCAACAGTGGGTTGACTTTTGAATAGACTTACCCCCCCCCACCATAGGAACGGGGAATTTCCACCGCCGGCTTAGCGCCGCGAACGGGAGATAAGTGCCGGCTCGATGCCTGTCAACAGCCGGTGCGCGCTTCTGCGCTCGAATTGGTGGAGCGCGCGGGTCGCTGGCTCTTTGGGCACTGCTGCGCCGGACGGGGAGGGGGGTCACGCTCTGCTTGGAGCTCGCCTCGTGTTTACCGGCGATGTCGTAGAGCCCGGGGCTTGCGTCACGCGAACTCCGGGTTTGGGAAATTGCGACCGTGTAGACGCAAGTGAGGTCATCCTTGCGCCACGAATCCGTGCGGATTCCAGCCGTGGGCTGGGGGCCGGGGGGCTCGGAGGGCTGGGTGGGTGGCGGCTTCCACCGGGACGGCGCATGGAATGTGCGTTCATGACAAACAGTCAGGGGCTGATCTCATCTGGGATTAAATCATTTCCGATCTCTTTCTCAAATCACGCAATTGGAATTTGTAGCCAGCAAACCTGAGAATGTTGGTCCCAACGTCAAACCAACGTTGGCGTTTTGGATCTGTGACCTGTGCCGCCACGGCCCACGCGGTGTGGGGTCGCCGTCATCCAGCAGTGGATTAACAAGAGGCAATGTGCTGGGTCACGGGGCTTAATCGTGCTACGTGCCACCAACAGCAGCGGTGGTAGTAGCGGCATCCGTCTGTAAACAGGCTCGCGATCGCTGCTGCTGGGAGTCGTCAAACGGCCCACTGTCACTACGACCTAATGACCGAGTGAGTGACCCGGCGAGCGAATGGGCGAGTGGGCGGATGGGCGAGCCTCTGTGCAGCAGAGCCGACTCAACAGCATGTTCTCGTTTTTTAAAGAATCTGAAAAATTCCTGGCAGGAAGCCCCCCAGCTCGAGGATGCGTGATACATCGCATGTTTACTCTGCAGTGCAGTGTGACTCCGTCCAACAACCACCAACCCTTCGCTAACCAAACACCCACCAACTACCAACCAATCACTCATCAACTACCAATAACCACCAACCAAACACCATTCAACCACCAACCAAACACCAACCAATCACTACGCAAACACCAATAACCACGAACAAAACGCTCACCAACCACAATCGAAACACTTCGCAGTCCACCGCCGGCTTGATGAGGGCACGGAGCGTTAACTCCGTCGCGCTCCACTTGGCACGGCCGCCGCCGTGAGCTGGTGGCGGTGAGCGCACACCTGAGCGCGCGCTCGCCCCGCGCGCTTCACCTGCGCGTCGACGCGTGTGACTGGGTGCGATGGTCACGCAGGCAACGTGCTGTGAATAGGGCGTAGTAGATGCACCGTGCGTTTTTACACGTTCCGCGGTGTAGGTGTACGTGAGTGTATATGTGTTTATGTGTGTGTACGCGTTTATGTGAACGTGCGTGTGTGTACGCGTTTGTGTACGCGTTTGTGTACGTGTGTGTATACGATATATCAACGTTACTTGACACCTTCGACACCTTGCAACAAACGAGCTGTGTGCAAGGTGACCTGTTTGCAAGGGGGCTTTCAAGGTGAAATATTTCCTTTAAATAAATAATAAAACAACCGCGTGGTGGTTTATGATGGTGGTGGGGGGGGTCGGGGGGGGAGAAGTCGGTCCGGGCGGCCTGACCCCGAGGGCGGACAGCGCGGGCGTCTGTCCGTGCCGAGTGTCGCGCTAGACTTTGGCCCTTGGCCAGGAGGAGACGAGGTGCAGGAGGAGAGCGAGACAGAGAGCGTCTGCGTGTGTGTGGTTGTGAATCCTGGTGATGCGTCCCAGGTTTAAGGGTCGTGCCGCGCATGTCATCCGGCGCAATGTCATCGGACGTTTGGCTACCCCGCGTCGGCAACTTCATCGTGGTCGGAGAAGCCGCTGGCATGTGGAGCGAAGCTTTGGACGTCGCGTCGAACAACGGCAGCTCAACCGCGAGAAAATCTGCGCAGGAGCGGTCCCGAATCTGTTCACGCAGTGTTGAGCAAAGGTGGCACGGTCCTGATAGACTGGGTTGGACTCTAGGCCGTGGCTAACACGAGCTGGTGCTGGTCGCTGACCCTGTCCTGGGTAGTGGCGCAACTCTCGAGTGTGAAGGTGGTGCAACTGCACCGGGGCCTATGCCAACCACGCTACACCCCTAGCCCTAGTTTCTCCTCCCTTTATCTGAGTGCGTAGAGTTAGCCAAATCCATGGCAGCCTTAAGAGGCGCTCACTAACAGCGCTTGCCAGTACAGGCTGCACCTGCAGGCGTTGCGGGTGGAGTTGCGTCACTAGCCTTGGCGATACGGCGCCACCGCGTGGACCTTGAACGTCGATCGTGAACTCGCTCCCACGATAAGGGACCCCCCCCCCCCCGTCCACGTCTCCGCCCCCACCCCCCTCCCGCCCCCCCCCCCCCCTCCCCTTCTTTCCGCACTTCCCCCCCCCTGCCCCCATTCGCATTCCTCGGCGGGGTTGCCGCTGGCCCCGCCGTGACGATTGTGTTTATTTTGGGACGGTTACGGCGGTGGCCACGTGCGACCACCGCCCGCGTTCCGAGTGCGGGACTCGCAGCCGGTGATGTCACGGCCAGGAGCTGTCCGCTCTCACGGCAGTCTTCCGGGCTCCCGGTGTCTGCGTTGGTGTAGATTTCTCGGTAAAAGTTTTATGGAACCGCACCGCCCCCACTACTACACGGCGGATTAAATCGACACGCGTCGACTCTCACCGGACGGTGGGGGGGGGGAACCCAGGGTGGGACCAGTGACGGAGTGGCAGCCGCGGGGCTGGCCACACGGGGAGATGCTGGAGGGTTCTCAGGGTGTCTTTGAAGTCTCGGCCTACTCGTGCCTTTTACACTTGTGAATCTCTCTACCTCGTCAAATCTCCCCACTTCGTCTGGGCCGCCGTTGAAAAGGAGCCCCTTGGGTCTACGAGCATGTGTGTCGCCCCACAGTGAGCTCACTGCCGAGAGAGAGAGAGAGAGATTTCTTGTCCCCATGGCGATGTTTCAGTCGGTCCGCAGGGCCCCCACACCGCTTCAGCCCGGCTGCTCCCGAGTCCTCCATTCTGCCGGATGAGCTGATATCTAGGATGGCCCAAAAGTCATGACACATAGGGATTATTATATTCATTTTAACAAATGGTCAAACTAACTTGGATTGGGATTAATGCATGCATGTACGTATGATTTCTTTTTTTTAAATTTAAGATTTTTTTGAATATTACAGCAGCTTTCTTTAGCGTGCATAACTAATTAAATTAGTTTTTAGGAAAACTAAGGGGGCAAGTTTCTTCAATGCCGCCCCTCCCAGCCCACCTCCCACCCCCCGTCCCCCACCTCTCCCCCCCGCAGCACGAATGGGTGACAGCACAGTTTGTGTGTGATGGACGGGTCGCGTGTGGTGGGGCAAAGTGTTGGTGACTCCCACCTCGTCCAAAACGTGGCAGGGTAGGGCTCAACACCATCTGGTGGGACCTCCAGAGCTTCATCTCGTGGGGGTCCCAGCAGGGGTGGGGGTCCCGGCAGTGGGTAGGTGGTGGGTGGGTGGTGCGGCGCGTGTGTGGTGCGGCGCGTGTGTGGTGCGGTGGCAGTTTGTGGAGTAAAATTTGTTTATCTCGGTCCGCAGGTCGTTCTGCAAGCAGCGGGCAGCCATCGAGAAAGATTATGGACAGGTAAGGTCATCTGTATGCACACACACACACACCTGTATGCACACACACACCTGTCAAAAAACAAATACAAAGATCCCCCGTGTAGTCTGTAACAGACTGTCGGGGGAAAATGCTGTTAGCGAGAACTTATGAAGGCCGGCATGGCACACGAGGGGGTGAGTGGCCAACACCACGCCCAGCCGCCTTTGTCTCCCTAGTGGCGATGTTTACACACCGCACCAGGTACTCATTTGAGGCTGAGTCGACCTAGGGGAGGCCCAGGACCGGTTCAGATAAGCGTCACCGGTGGCCGTGAGCGGGAATCGAACCCGTAGCGCAACGCGCTAACCGCTATACTACCGCTCGCCACACAAACCTGTATGCACGCACAGACACACAACTCTACGCACACCAGGGTGCCACTCACTCTGCATATGAAAACAAGTCTCAGTGTTGTAGGATGTCTCCCTCCTCCCAGTTTGTTACACCTGAGAATATCATTCTACTCTCTTCGTAGTCACAGGGCTCTCAGAGTCCCCCCTCCTCCTCCTCCTCCTCTTCTCTGCGTCTGTGCTTCTACACTGTGACTGTACGTATATTGAGTGGAACCCTACTCACGTGGCTCAAAGCTCAAAGCCACGTGGCTCACTTGAGCCAGGGCCAAGTCTTAACCTGAGCCGTGACTAAGAAGAAGGGGCCTTAGTGTCTCATCATCATCGTCATGGTCATCACTTGCGTGAGATGTTTACTTTTGTGACAATGTTTCGTGTTCTGTGTAATGAGACGTGGCCAAACAGTTGAGCACAGTCGTTTATTTGCCGAAGCTGAGGTTTTGGTGTGCGTGTACACAAAGGGTGTACTAAAGTGCGATTGCGTAGATACAATCGCTAAAATTCCACAGACGTAAACCACACACACACCTGAACACACACACACATAAACAACAACAACCGCCATTCGCCACTAAGTGGTGGTGACGTCACCACAACGCTTGTGTCAGGCTATATGCACCTTGAGGCACGTGAAGTGTCGAACGCCCGCTGGCAGGAGGTCACGGGGCAGACCCAGGTGCCACGGGTCGGCTGACTGAGATGACTGGCAGATGCACCGCCTGTACCCCCTACTGTGCCAACTTGCTGCGTTTTAGCTGCCCTCCGCTCCCTCCAACTGCCCAGTAGTAGCAGCGTCCTTCACGAGCCTCTTCCATAGAGGACGATCTTTAAACCGCTGGTACCAGTCCACTCAGCTCCACATCCTCCTGTACCACATCACTCCATCTCTTCTCTAGCCCGTGCCGCGCTCGTTTAGCCCCCTCTATCCGGCCGAACAAAAGCTGTTTAGGCATGCGGAGGCTGGGCATGCGGGCTACATGACCCAGCCAAGGCAGCCTTGCCTGCCGGAGGAGCTCACCGATGGGACCTTGTCCAGATCTTTCAAGGATTTGTGAGCTCCTCACACAATCCAGCCTGGTTAAACCCAGGATGGACCGTAGGCAGGCCAGCCTAAATGTTTCTAACCGGCGAAGATGTTCCATTAGGGGGGGTCCACGTTTCGCAAGCGTAGAGAAGGGAGGGAATGACCGTGGCCGAGAAGACCTGAAGCTTAGTGTGGAGCGACAGACCAGGTAGCTTCCACACAGCGTTACGCAACCGATGAAAAGATATTGCCGCTCGACTGATACGGAGTGAGACCTCTGCTGTTAAACTGGAGCCAGTCATAAGCACACTGCCCAGGTATGGGATACTCTCCACTCTCTATACAACTGCCCCATCACCGATTGGGAGTTGTGGGGGTGGTGTGTCCGATGGTACAAAATACACAGGCAGGTGCTTAGTTTTGGTTGGGCTGATGGTAAGGCGCCATCTCTTAGTGGCACGCTCCAGTCTCAGCAGTAGCGTCTCCAACTCCTCCTCTGAATGAGCAGCTATTACCAAATCATCGGCATACATAACGTCGTTTAGCAATAGGGAGCCATCCCTTGACCGCACCCGGGCATCGATCAGCCTCCCATTATATCTGTACCAAATGGAGATTCCCCCGGTACAGCTATTGAAGGCTTCACGAACTACGTGGTCAAAATGTTAAATAATGTGGGAGCCAGAGGACATCCCTGTCGTACTCCAAAGGTGTATAGGGAATGGCTCTGACTCCCGGCCACGTAGTTTTATCCGGGCCCGCTCACCATCATGAAGGTCCTTAATGATCGTGAGCAGAGGGTCAGGGACTCCAAAAGCACGAAGAACAACCCAAAGCCCAGGCCTACTGATGGTATCATAGGCCTTGACCAGGTCAATAAAGCAGAGATGTAGGTCTTGTTGGAATTCCCTACACCTCTGCTGTAGCAGACGGACAGAAAATATGGCATCTGTGCAGGACCGCCCTTTCCTGAAACCGCATTGCTGCTCCGCAAGCCTCTCCTTACCATGCCTGGCAAGGCGATGTTGAATAATCCTTGCCAGGACCTTTCCAGGCACACTGAGGAGTGAGATGCCCCTGTCGTTGTTACATTCTGTGCGGTCCCCCTTCTTAAAGAGGGGGACCACCAGGGCATCCTTCCAATCCTGCGGAACCCGTCCAGTGGTCCAGACTGTTGTTATGATGTCATATAGGGCAGTCTGTGCACAAACGCCACCCTTCCCCAGCATTTCGCTTGGGAGATCATCTCTACCCGGTGCCTTTCCAGGTCTCATACTCCAGATCGCCTTTAGTACTTCCTCAACAGATGGCACCTCAGCCAGTCACTCACAGGGGGTGACTTCTTCCAATATTTGAGGCACTGCAGCCTCAGCAAGGTCATACCCACTCTGTGCCACGATGTTTTCCTGGCTGAGGGATTTCCCCTCCCCCAGGACCTCACAGAAATGCTCAGAAAATCTGCAAACCTGTTCCTGGGGGTCGGAGATTGGATCACCGTTTTTTCCCCTAATGATGGTAATAGGTGTGGCGCTGCAGGTTACTTTTTTGATGGAGTTAAATAGAGATTTGTGATCGCGGGCCACTGAGGCAGACTCCATCTCCTCAGCAACCCGCGATCACTACCCATCCTTGCAGCGCCTCACGGCTCTCCGAACCTCTGAGCGAAGGCTGCGGTAAGCCTCCTCATTCTCTGACGTGGGATTCTGTAGCTGATGACAGTGGGCCTGTCGCTTTTTCTCAACCATCCTGAACACCTCCTCTGTCAGCCAGGGTCTCTGGGGAGGTCTGGACCGCATACCCAAAGCAGCCATTGCAGCTGCATGAGTCACAGTCCTAAACCTCGCCCATTTACCCTCGACATCAGGAGAAGTGGGGGACGATGCCAACCCCAGCCGCAATCGATGATGAAATTCTCGCTTGCAACTTTCATCAGGTAACTGAGACCAGGCCACTTTAGGTTGGAATGAGGTCCTGGGTGTACACCCACCACCGGAGTGGAAGAATGGCAGGCGTATCTTACAGATGACTAGTCGATGGTCAGAGGGCATATCAGCTCCACGGTAGGTCCTGGTGTCAAGGACATGGGCTCGCATCTGCTGGTCCGTCACTATGTAGTCTAGCAGATGTTCTTGCTTGGACCCATCATGCATCCATGATGTTGTGTGGATGCGCTGATGCCAGAACAGCATGCCCATGGGCTGCACACAAATCTAGCAGCCTCCTACCGTTGTTATTGAGCTGATCTGGCCCATGCCCTCCAATTACTCCAGACCAGGTGCCAGCATCATGACCAACTCGGGCATTGAAGTCACCCAACAAGATGACTATCCCGAGGGGCCATTTTAGCCAGCACCTGTGACAGGAGGTCATAGAAGGCATCTGACTCATCGGCTTTGCCTGCATCCCTCCACGGATGTTCCTCTTCGGTGGGGGCATCAGTAACCACGACCACCACTCCTCGCCTCCGGTTGATGGGAAGGCGAGCCCAAAGTAGCCTGGGGCTTACAGCTTCCCACACCTCACCGCCACGCTCCCACGCCCCCTTCATTGTTCAAAAGAAGAGCCACACCCTGTTGTTTGGCAGTCTGCTGCCCCGAGTAGAGGACTGTCCACCCCTTATGGTGGCAGGAGCCAGAACCGGTCCACCGGACCTCCTGAATGCCACCGATCCCGGCGGTACCAGTCCAGCTCCCGACAGAGGAGTGGTAGCCTCTCCTCCGCATTGAGCGTTCGAACATTTCACGTGGCCAAACGAAGTGGCTTTTCGTTGTTTCTGGAGGAGCCCCGAGGATCGGGATTCAATCTCCTGGCTCCGCCAATTGGGGTTTGGCCAGGAGACGTCATAGACGCCTGTTCCCCCGGGGCCTCCGGCACAAGCTTGTTCGTTACATATTTCCGTCGTGGTTTAGTGGTAAATTTTTTAAGGTGGAGGGGTTACCAGCCCCTCGCACCCATCCAGAGCTCCCGTTTAGCCCATGTGGTGGTCACAGACGCCATAAGGGGAGAATCCAATCGGAATTGACCCTCCCCCCACAGCACTGTCCACGACAGAGTTGCCCGTCCGGCACCGCGAGGAGGTAGGGGGTCGTTTTGCCGGACATACACACACACTGCAGCACACACACACTGCAGCACACACACACTGCAGCACACACTGCAGCACAAACACACACTGCAGTACACACTGCAGCACACACACACACTGCAGTACACACTGCAGCACATACACACACACACTGTAGCACACACACACACTGCAACACACACACACACTGCAGCACACACACACACTGCAGCACACACACTGCAGCACACACACACACTGCAACACACACACACACTGCAACACACAAACACATACTGCAGCACACACACACACTGCAGCACACACACACACTGCAGCACACACACACACTGCAGCACACACACTGCAGCACACACACTGCAGCACACACACACACACTGCAGCACACACACACACTGCAGCACACACACACACACACTGCAGCACACACACACACTGCAGCACACACACTGCAGCACACACACTGCAGCACACACACACACACACTGCAACACACAAACACATACTGCAGCACACACAC